GGCCCAGGAGGCAGGCATCTGGTTTTCTGTTAGCAAACGCTCCCCAAGCATTGCCGTACATCAGTGCCAGGCCTGTGCCAGGCCCAGGGCCAGGGGCGGATGAGACAGGGCTCCAACCCCAGGCAGCTCCAGGCCTGGGTGGGGCAGATGCAGGGTGACCAACGCCATGGGGGTTGGGGTGCAGGTGAGGAAGCACAGGGGAGGTGATGGGGGCTTCAAGGAGAAACGGGCATCCAAGCTGCGCCACAAGGGATCAGCTCAGTCCTGCCAAGTGGAGAGACCACGGAGGCAGAGGAGTAGGTATACTGAGGCCAGCAGCAGGAAGGGGCAGGAGGTGGGCTGGGGAAGGTGCTGGAGCCCTGTTTGCCACACCGTAGACTGTGGGTTTTGTCCTGGAAACATTGGGATATTTGTCGCAGCAGCAACCCCCTATGACCTCCTCCATGTCCTCTTTCCCACATGGGCAGCATAAATGGAAGTTCTATGGACCAGCAACATTTGGTGAAAGAACCCAGATGTCTGGGAGATGGATGGGCCTCAGAGAGCACCTGGCCAGGCACGGCTCCGCGGGCCAAGTGCGTCTCAGTCACCTGGGCTGCTGGTACTGGCACGGCTGAGGTTGTGATGAGTGGGGTACAGTCCATGCGGGATCTGATGAATCCCCTAACCGAGACCTGGAGCCCCAGCATTTGCACTATTACCATGAAGACATCCCCAGCCCCCATAAGTGACCTTCCAGAGTAGTCTAAGAGCCACCAACCTGGTCTATGTCTACTTTACGTATTGAACCTCCCCAGCAGCAGGCCTGGCTGAAACTGGATGGCTCAGGGAGCCTTGGGCCACAGGGAACCCATGACTTCACAGCCAGGCAGCCTGCTGCAGCTGGAGGCCTCCGGGGGCAGGCTTGCTGCGGGGGCTGGAAACCCTGCTCCCTTCTAACCTCAGCTCCCACTTCTCCCTGCCTGCACCACAGAGAACCAGCCAGTTTCTCAAAGACAGCAATGAGCTCTGGAGGCCCAGACTCCCCACTCCTCCCTAGGGCCCTGTGTGTTGTCCAGCTGAACATGCTCCATTCTCCAATGTGCAGATCCCGGCCCTTCCCTGACACCTTTCCAGGTTAAGCCCCGGTGCCTCCCAGGGTGAGGCCCAGATCTGAGCCCTGCACCCTGGGCAGGGTCTGACCAGGCCAGAGAGGGATACTCACTTGCACATCAGACCCCAGACTTTATGAAGGTCCCTGCCTCTGAGGTTCCCAGTGGCTAAGTGACTCACATCATGCCTAAAAAAATATCAGCCTCTTTACGCAGCAACCATGAATCAAGAAGCCCAGTGAAAGGCAAAAGTTAACCAATTTCAGCAGCAGGGTGAATTTTCACCCCTCTGGTGTATGAATCTGTATTTTGACGGCACCAGGAAACAGAAACAACTGATTACGCATTCCAGGCCGTCTCTGTCCGGCACGCGTTGCTCCCCCGAAGGGCAGTCAGAGCTCCTTTTCAATTATACAAATTACATGCATTTTCCCATTTGTGAAACTCTGTTTCATAAGCCAGTTTTGAATAAGTTAAGGGATTCATCAAATCCCTTGAGCACCTGCAGACCCACCCATCCACCCCTCCACCGTCTCTGGAGGCAAACTCAGCCTCCCTGAGTTGGGGCGTGGGGGTGGCTCGGGAGGGGCCCACAACAGATGGGGCTGTGTTCCCTGAGAGTGGGAGCGGGGCAGAGTGGGAGGCTCCCAGGCTACTCCCCCATCGGGATGCGGATCCTTGTTCCTACATCCTCCTTGCCTGGCCATGCTAGTGTGGGAGAAATCTGCCAACTGGGGCTCACCCACCATTCTGCCTCGCCAGCCCTCAGAGTGCTCCAAACTGTTGAACACTGGCCAATTCCCAGCCCCGCAGCATCACCATCCATGTCCTGCTAGAGCCCTTGATCCGGCCCCAGGGTCTAGTAGCAAATGCAAGGGCAGCAGAGCATGAGTGTCACCCCTAAGGGCCTGTCAAAGCGCAGAGGGGTTCTGTGCATCGGCATGTCCACAGCCCCCCACCTCGTGTGGCTGGGCCCAGGTGGAGTTCAGGCCCCCAGACTATCCTCTGCCTTTGCCCAGCGCAGTACTCAGTGAGCACCTTCTGTGACCCAGGCCCTGCACGAGGCACTGGGAACCAGGAGGTGCAGAAAGCGGGGGGCCCTCGGCCTCAAGAAGCTCACGATCTAGTTGGGAAGACAGGGATATAGGATGAATGATTTTTCACAGCATGTAATTTATTTAATAACAGAATTCTGTACACACTATAGAAGTGATGGAAAACAGTATTATATTCCTCAAGCTTCTTTTCACCATCGGTCTCCTAAGAAGCCTTTCTGGACATTTTTTCCTAATCTTGCCCCCCCAGGACACTGGAACACCACAGACACACACATATCTGTTTATGTACTGTCTGTATGTCTACGCTTTACACTAAAAAAGAATAAGATGTTTTCCTCCTTCCCAAGAACCAGTTTTCACACCATTGGTGGGGGATATCACCCCTTGTAGAGGAGGATGGAACAAGCCATTTACTTTTTGGGTGGGGATTGAGGCACAGAAGGAAAGGGGGTGGTGGAAAGAGATCAGGAAAGGCCTCACAGAGGAAGTGGGGCCTATCTGGGGTTTTGAAGGATGAGCAGGAGTTCTATAAAACAGAAGAGGATGGAAGGATGTCACTGTTAAGGCCCCCTTGCTGGGCGCTGTGGGATCCTGCCTTCCTCTCAGACATTAGTCACTGTGACAGCCAGCCTCCAGGATGGCCTCTCCTGTCTGGGCAAAACGTCCATCTGCAGATCCTTCTGTCCTGCCGTCCCCTCCTGCCTCCTTCCCTCCCTCTGAACATCCAGCTAACATCTAATGAAGTCTGTGAAATATTAGGCACAAGGAAAAGCAGATGTCACACAGGCCCAGATTCCATCCTCAAGGAGCTTATAGCCCAGCGTGACAGACAAACAGTTGCAAATATGCCCCCACATCTGTAAAACCCCAAGAAAGACAGGCAGATCAGAATGGGGACCTGCTGAGTACTGCTCTGCTAGAAATAAACAGTGGGAAGTAATAAAAAGACTTTCTAGGGGCCCTACTTTAGGAGCCCCCTCGTAGCAGTCAAGAAAGGCTTCCTGGAGGAGGCAGCATTTAAGTTGGGTCTCAAAGAATGGGTAGCACCTGATACACTGGCCATAGGGAGAACAGTATGTTTCAGGTGGTGGGAACAGTATAAGAAGGTGGGAATGCAGGTAAGACCAGGAATGCCAAGTAACCAGGGTATTCAACTTGAGGAATGAGAGGAGACAGAGCAGGGCCAACAACAAGTAACACTTAGTGCTCACTGCGTGCCAGGCACAGTTCTAACCTTTCGATCACATGACAACCCTGTGAAAGCAGGCCTGTTACCAGCTCAATCGTGAGAGAATGAGGCTCGGAGTGGCAGTGCCTGGTTTTGACGAGACAGGAGGTGCTCCTTGGTATTTAGGAGAGGAGGCTCAAGCCCAGAGAAGCTAAGTGACTTGTCCAAGATCTCACAGCTGTTTTGGGCACCACAAGGACCTGAGGCCAGGCTCCCATAGCACACTGAGCCGTGCTGGCTCCCAGGTGCGTGGTTGGGTTTGCACTGTAGCGCGCTGAGCTGCTATTCTGGCCTCCTCTCCTACTGCATCCGCCCACAATCCGTGTGGCCTGCTCCGGCCACGAGTGACTCACCGCTCCCCAAGCCTACACGCTTTCCCACCTACCACTTGTGCTTACCCGGCTTCCTCTGCAACCGTGCGCTCCCCCACATCCCGGCTGTCCAACGCCCTCTCCTCCTGTAGCACCTGCCCTGGGAAGCCTTCTGTGACCTGGGGCTGAGTGGGGGTACCCCTCCTCTGGGCCCCCATCCCTCCCTCGTCACACCTATGCCCCTGCCCCTCTTGGCTGTAAGCTTGGGCTCCACCCCCAGCACCCCATGCTTGCAGGACCTGACTCAGAGGGCCTTAGTCCATGCACCTGGAGTGAAAACTGACCCCCTGCGTGGTCTCACTCCTGCCACCTCTTCACTCTCACTCTCTGCACCCTGACTCCAGCCCCCCATGCTCCAGTCCCACCTCCCCATTTTCTGTCACATGGACACGCCAGGTTGCTTCCGTCACAAGCTGCCTGCCTGCCTTTACTATTCCATTCGCCAGCATGGAACGCTCTTCACCCAGTGGGCTCCTTCACACCCTTCAGGTCTCAGCTCAATTGTCACCTTCTCTAAGAGGCCTTTCCTGACTGCCCCAAGGCAGTCACTATGCATCTCATCACCCTGTTTATTTCTATCAGAGCCCAGTTTCCTTTCCATAGTCTAATTTTAAGAACTGGACTGCCTGAATTAAAATCTTGGCCCTGCTATTTATTAGCTCTGAGTCCTTGGGCAAGTTACTTACTCTGTGCCTCAGTGTCCTTATCTATACAATGGGGACGAAAATAGTACCTACAGCAAAGAGTAGTTGTAAGGATTAAATGGGTTAGTGCATATAAATGCTCAGAACAGTGTCTGGCACATAGTAAGCCCTACATATACAACCATTAGGATGATGGATGGATGTATCAGCAGAGAGTGGATAAGGGTCATCTGGTTAAAGGAACAGCGAGAGCAGGGCTCTGAGGCCTGAGGTCTGGGGTGCATATAGGAAAGTATGGCAGGGCTGTGTTGTGGAGTGAGCGGTAGCCACGGAAGCTAACACTGGACAGGCAGGTCAGCCTGGGCTAGGAAGTCAGTGGTGAGCACTGAGGGTTTCTAATACAAGATGGTGGTATCAGGACTGCCCTTTAGAGACCCATTGTGGGGCCATGCCAGGAGGGGTCCAGCAGTGAGGGCAGATCATCCAGGAGCTAGTCCAGGAGGCCTGGCCCAGGCAACTTGGGAACCACATTGTGCAAGGAACCATTTCTGCAAAGGACTGGTGGCCAGTCAAAGACAGCCCCCAACAGAAGGTGGATCAGAACTTACCTGCACCAGATTCCAGCCTTGGAGGGACTCTGCAATGATAGACGTGACGGATGGACAGACACCTCCAAACACCATCAAGTGGTTCGGCCCGTATTTTATTGCATCGTAGAAGGCTTTCAACCCTTTTGCATTATCGCACTGGGAAGAAACACACAGAAAGAAAGGTCTAAATTAGAAACAGCTTTCCCAAGGGGCAAGAGCCCAACAGTGGATTCATACAAACAAGTCTTTCTTCATAGACTCCTTCTGGGGTTCAGTTCTGCCACAGTGGGGCTTCAGCCCCGAGTCCATGCTGTGAGCTCAGCAAGTGTGGTCTTGGCACCCCCTCTCCTGGCTCTCCTCCCCTAAGCACCCTTCAGTCTAGGAGCTCTCTCCAGCCCCTGCTGTCTCCCTTCAGAGTACACAGAGGAAAGGCCCCCAAAATGCCTCCCCCGGGATCTCCCCTTTCCATGACCACTTATATTTTAAAAGATGATTTCACACTCACTAAAATGGTGATTATCAAAAAACAAACAAACAAAAAAACCCAGCAAATAACAAGTGTTGTCAAGGGTGTGCGGAAACTGGAACCCTTGTGCACCGTTAGTGGGAATGTAGAAAACAGTATGGCGGCCCTCAAGTAAAGCATAGAATTACCATACGATCCAGCAATTCCAGTGCTAGATCTATACCCAAAAGAGCTGAAGCAGGGACTTGAAGAGATTATTTGTATACCTAGCAGTAGCATTAACAGTAGCCAAAAGGTGAAAGCAAAACAAATGTCCATCAACTGATGAATGGATTAACAAATCATGGTATATACAGACTATGGAATATTATTCATCCTGAAAAGGGAAGGTAATTCTGATACATGCTACAAGACGAAGGAAACTTGAAGACATTACATTAAGTGAAATAAGCCACCCCAAAGAACACACATGGTATGATTCCACTCATATGAGGTACCTAGAGTAGTCAAATTTATAGAGACAGAAAGTAGAATGGTGGTTACTAGGGACTAAGGGGCAGGGGAGAATGGGGGTTATTGTTTAATGGATTCAGAGTTTCAGTTCGGGGTGATGGAAATGTTTTGGAGGTAGATGGTGGTGATGGTGGCACAATAGTGTGAATGTTCTTAGTGACACTTAAAGATGGTTAATAAGGTAAATTTTATGTTACATACATTTTACCACAATAGGAAATTAAAAGACCATGATAATGAACCTAAAGAGAAGAATTCATTCAGTAAACACATGCCAAGCACTACTCCATGTTCAGCCCAGGGCTGGATGCTGAGGAAACAAAAAGCTGGACATAGCCCCTGCCAACGAGCTCTCATATTAGAGAGGAAAATGACTAGTCAAGCAGATCATGGCAATACAACGTGGACACAGGAAGAGCACAAATGTCGGAGTCTGTTGTGGCTCACTCCCTGCCTCTCTGCCTCGACCTACTGAGCACCAAGCACGGCCTCCTGGCTTCCCTAAAGCTACAGAACCCAACCCCCAGGCTGTGGACTGGTACTGGTCCGTGGCCTGTTAGGAACCGTGCCGCACAGCAGGAGGTGAGCAGCTGGGGAGCAAGCAAAACTTCATCTGTATTTACAGCCGCTCCCCTTCACTCACATCACTGCTGAATCCGCCTCCCCTCTATTTGTGGAAAAATTGTCTTCCATGAAACTGGTCCCTGGTGCCAAAAAGTTGGGGACTGCTGCCCTAAAGGGAGCACACCTTTGCAGTGAATAACAAAACAAAACTCACAAGGATGTGTCTGTCCCATTTTTGATGCTGTTCTTTATCCTCTCCTCTTTATCCTCTCCTTGGCCATCTCTCCCCTGGACAGAGGCGCTGGCTCCTAACTGGGCATCTCGCTTCCTGTGGGGCCCTGTTAAGCTCATCTGCCACCCACCAGTCTGAGTGTCCTTTGTCAAACATAAATTAATTCTTCTCATCTCCTGCTTCCCATGCATTTAAAACCCAATTCCTATCAGAATATAATTCTCAAAAGGTTAAAAACATAATTCACATGAAAATCGGTAGTGAGCACATGTCAAAGTTTTATTCAACTCATTAATAATGGGATCTGCGGGCTGACAAAGTGGATTTGAAAGAGAATTTGAGGAACAGGGATTTTTACAGCGAATGAGAAAAGTAAGGAATAAGATAAGACTGCTACATTAGGTACAAAACTGGTTAATGTCCTACAGGGCAATAAAACCATCAGCTTTGGGGACAGAAAAGAAAATCACTGAAAACCAACATAACTTATCGGTTGCAGAGAATTGTGAAATGTCTGGGTCTTAATTGGTTGGGCAAAGTTCCATTCCCCCAGTCAGATGACCCTCAGGCAGGGCTGAAAATGCTCTAAGTATTAGGGTAAATGGTCACATAATCACATCTTTCTATCATTTACAAGTTTGGGATAATTTTTGTAACATTCCTTATCACAATGGAAGCCACGTAATCCAGGCCCTGCCTCCCACTCTGGCCTGATTTCCCTTTACTTTCGCTGCTCCTCATCAAGCACAGCCTCACCAGCCTTCTTCCTGTTCCCTGAAACCAAAAGCAATTTCCTTCCTCTCTCTGGGCCTTTGCACTTGCTGTTTTATTAGCTGGGAACACAATTCCCTGGGTTCTCGACATGGCTCACCCCTTCTCATCATTCGGGTCTCCCCACCCAAAATATTTCCCACCCCGTCACTCTCTGACATGCCACCCTATCTGATGCCCTAACACAGTTCCTAAAATTTTCTGAACCCATCTTGTCTACCTTTTGTTTGTCTGTATATTGACTGACTTCTTTAACCAGAATGGAAGCCCCAAGAGGGCAAGGGTTTTGTCACTGCTTTCCCTGCTATCTCCCCAGAGCTTGGACAAGGGTTCTCTAAGGATTCCGTAAGTACCTGTCAGTGCCCAAGGAGTTCCCTGACACCCCCCATTCTTGTCTTTCTCTCCATTCTGTGTCCTCCTCTTTCTTTCTCCTTGTCCTCCACCTTCCCCTAAGTGATCATACTATGGGATCACAGTGGCTTAGTATTTCTTGGAGACATTCCTGCAGACCACGCCCCATGGTGGGTGCTGACGGGGCAGAGAAATGAGCCCAACGCAGTCCTGGCCACAGAGAGCTCACTGTCTGGTGGAGGCAAGGAGCCGGCATGGCGCCCACCTCACGTGGTGGACAGCGCTCAACACCACGGGAGAGATGCCGAGCCAGGCTGTGGGGCAGGCGGAGGTGGGGGGTGCTCTGGGAGAGGGAACGCTGGAGATGGGAATCGTAGGCGGAGGAGCAGCACGAACGCAGGCAAGGAGGTGGGAAAGTGAGACAGGAACAGCAACAGCTGGCCCACTTTGATGGTGAGTGATGAGGACGAGGTGGCCTGGGTGAAGGCTTAGGGCTCCGAACACCAGGCTAGGGTGTTTGGGTTGTACACTGTAGATATTCAATAAATAGAGCAATTTTAAAATTTTAATTCAATTTTAAAGCTGGCCAAGTTAATTTATTTTCTCAAGAAAGAGAGAAAATGAGAAAAAGAGAGAAAGGAGAGAAGGAAGGGAAGGAGGAAAGAAAGATTAAGTTCTTACTGCTTCTGGGGTCCTCTGTTAATTATCCCTGTCCCTGATTGAAAGCAACACTTCTCACTCTCAGCAGAGCAAGCACGGATATTACAGAGCAATTCATGTTTTAATTGTTTCTACCATGATTTACTCAATCATTTCTAGTTTTAATACATCTCTGTAATGATTTTGGCTTGTTTTCTAATCTGTAGCTAATGACAATGATAATACAGTACCACAAGATTTATAATCAAAGTCACATTAAAATAATATTGGCAACAATGAACTTATTAATACTTGTTTGCTCAGCAAACATTTCCTAAGTAACTAGTCCATGCAAGTTTCTGTATTCTCACAAATACACAATGCTGGGATATGTCAACTCAAAAATCTGAGACTATTTCACAATGAATCTTGGAGCTGGAGTATCCTCCAATGTTTCCAAATGTTTATCTGACCCAATCTTCACCAGACTGGGAGAAGCAGCAGAGTTTGGGCCCCAGTGACCTCAGCCCTTTGGTGTTACTCCCATGAATATGTTACATTATATGGCAAAAGGTTCATTGCAGATATAATTAAGGTTACTAATCAGCTCACCTTAAATTATTATACAGGTAGGCCCAGTGTAGTCAGACAAGCCCCTAAAAGCAGACCTTTCTTTGTCTAATAGCAGAGGGGAAATCGGAGACTTGAAGCATGAGATAGATTCAATCTACCATTGTTGGTTTCAAGATGAAGAAGGTCACATGCCAAGAAAACAGGGACCCCCATCCTATAATTGCAAGGAACTGAATTCTGCTAATAACCTGAATGAACATGGAAAGAAATCTTCCCCAGTTGAGCCTCCAGATAAGAACCCAGCCTAGCCGACACCTCAGTTTTGGCCGTGTGAAGCCCCGAGCAGAGGACTCAGTGGAGCCACGCTGTGTCCAGACTTCTGGCATGGAACTGTCAGACAACAAAGGGGCATGGTTTAGACCACCAAATTGGTGGCAGTCTATTATAGCAGCAATAGAAAACTGATACACTCAAACAAAATAAGACAAATGAGAATAATATAGTGAGGTTTTCCTTAAAGCAAAATTTATTCCATTTAAAGAACTATCCTTGATTTATAGATAAGGTCCTTTGTAGCCCGTATGGTATTGAAATGTTTTTCTGTTATAAAATGATAGATAGTAGGAAGGTTTTGTTTTTAATGTCCTGATGTGGCAAGATAAAAAGTTTTCCACCCTCTGTAAGTTTCTGGTCCACAGCCTTCCCTTGTGTGAAATCCAAATGTCTGGGCATTGCTAATTCCGCCCTCATTTTCAGATTCAGAGACTGAGGACTAGAAAGGAGAAGGGATTTGTCCACTGTCTTGCCAGGATTAGTAGAGGGATTTCTGGATTCCCAGTTGAGAGCTTTCTAATAATCTGAAGAACTCATCTCAATGGACAAAGGGTAGGTTAGAGCTAACGGCATTCTAGACAAGACCAACTTCCCCCAGGATAACTCTGCAAGCCCAGGCCTCCTCCTGATCAGAGCTCTTGGCCTGAGGTGGGAGGAACAACCTACTAAGCACCAAGCACGGCCTCCTGGCTTCCCTAAAGCTACAAAACCCAA